TCAAGTCAAACATGAGCTGAAACCACATACTAGTTCACAATCAACTAGAACCAGAAAAACAAGAAAATCTTCTAGTAGTGGTCATATACCAATGGCAATTTGAAAAAAAACTGCACTAGGGGCTGGGAAGGTGGCTCAGTGGTAGAGCGCTTGCCTTGCATGCCTGAGACCCTGGGTTCGATTCCTCAGTACCACATAAGAAAAAAGAAAAAAGCCGGAAGTGGCACTGTGGCTCAAGTGGTAGAGCGCTAGCCTTGAGCTGAAGAGCTGAGGGACAGCGCCCAGGCCCAAAGTTCAGGCCCCACGACCGGACTCCCCCCCCCCTCAAAAAAAGAAAAACACTGTACTATTTCATGAAATAACATGATTGATTCTCCTGAACACTGATGGGGGTAACAAAACTCCAGTACTGTACTAGTCAGACAATTAATATAAATGAATGAAATGAGTCATATACAGGACCCTATAGAGGAGTGAGGACAGTAGCAAATCAGAGGCCTAGACTTAAGGGAGCAGCCTTGAGTACAGCCCCCTTTAGTACCAGCATATTTTAGAGGCTCCTAGCCACCTTCCTGGCCTTCTGAGGTCCCCATGCAAGTTGTTCCCCTGAAATCACTGGTTCAAATGTCCCCTGCTGAACACAGCTTCTCCATCTCCAACCCACTACTTCCAACTCGAAGTCATGAACTGAGATGATTCAGAACTGCTGACATTGGTTTAAACACTTCATAAGCATGGCTGGTGTGCATTTCAGAGGATGGTTGAGGCTGTTGAAATCCCACCAGTCTTGAGACCCAGATATTACTTTTTATAAGAAGAAACATCTTATAATAGAATATCTTACCATGTGAGTTGGGACATCTCACCATCTAGAAATTTGATATCATCTTGGAAGAAAGTGACTAGTTGTTTCTGGGTTTTTACAAACTCCTCAAATGTTCTGGGGTGATACACATCCTGCCAGGATCTACTTGCCAGCCAGCTCCAGGATGTTAGAAGTCAGATACTTGAAAATGCCAGCCAAGAAAACAGGTATAGTAGGAGCTTCCTTACCAGCAGTAGTTACCCTCTCATAAGCGCTAGTCCACATGGCTAACTACAGCTAAGCTTTTATAGAGCCTAGGGCTCCAGAGGAGCCTTAGGGCTCTTTTCTTCCTTCCATGGTCTTACTAGGTTTTCCTCATCATCCCTAATTGATTTTCCCACCAATCTGGGCCTGTTAAGATCCCATCTTTACATCCACCAGTAAACTATATATCATGCTCCAGCCCTTCAATGATCAGCTGCTTTTATGACAACTTGGATCATGTTGTTATCAGTCTCCACTGACCCTTAGTCAGACCTTGCCTAGAAATATCTGTGACTCAAATCTATTCAGCCTCAAGATTGGAACCTCCTTTTAAGGAAACTAACTTTCCACTTAAGTTTGACATTCTACCTTTTTTTTTTTTTTCTTAAAAAGAACATGCTTAATGGAAAGACTGTTGTCGCCCAGACACCATTCCAGGTGTGGGTATTCTGGTTGTAGCCTGACAATGCTTATGAGCTCTTTGATATCCCTTTGTAGCTTGTACATCATGGATAGATATATTCAATGTCTTCTACAATAGAAGTTCAATTGTGCACCTTTTCGTGATGTAATAAAATCAGTTTTATCTCCATTTATGCATTCATTTCAATATCTACTGTGAATATTCCTGTGTTTATACTATACATTCAACTTTGAACTAGTTTTAACAACTACATCTTCTCCCAGGAGCTAAAAAGAATCTTTAAAAATCTTTTAAATCTTTTTTTAATGTATAAATTTGAAAGCAAATAACAAAACAACAATACACAAACCTTCTCCTCCAGAATACAGTACCAGTACAAATATATCAGTATATGGCTATAGCTGCTCATGTCTGGGACCTAGGAACCCCTCTTTCCTTCACTTTGCTATCCAGTTAATTAGCAAAGCTATTACTCCTCCTCAGTCATAGTATTCCTCAGTAATCCATTTGACTATTCCAGTCCAGGCCATTACCACTGTAACCTGAGCAACTGTAGCAGACAAGTTATTGACCTCCCTACTTCTCCCCTCACACTTCCAATCTTTTTCCAGAATAATTAATTTCTAAAATGAAACAAGCTCGTGACATTGTGTTACCTAAAACTTACCAGTGCCTTCCAATACACCTAGAATAAGGCTTAAAATCCTAGACACTTTGTTCTATTTTTCCTTCACCGGGCTTTCCTGCCTCATGGGCCAGTTTTAAATACAAATCTATGTTCTGGGAATCTTTGCCTCACCTTACAGGCTTGGTTAGATTACCCCAATATCCCCCTTACAGAGGCTCCCCAACTTACACTTTGAAGGATTTATCAGAAATAACATGAACATTTTATTAATATTTATGTCTTCATGTCTCTCCTATTTTAAGACAATAGAGACTTGTCTACCTTATTAACTACTTTATCTCCCACAAGCCATCCCAGGGTCTTCAACATAGAGAATACTCAATAAACCCTCATTGTATCCATGAATGATGTCATACAAATCTAACCTTAAATCTTGGCTCCAATGTGGACTCTTTCTAGTAGGAAGAAATGCTTATGATGTCCATTAGTGTGCCTGGTACAAAGGAAGCATCTGTAAAACAGTAGTAACTACTACCAATGTTCCAACCACAGTGGGAGAGAAAAGAGAGGGCACTGTGAGGTCCAGGTAGGCCAAATAGTAGGCTCCAAGATACTTCCTAGTGAAGAGTACCTCCAATGTCTTCTGGACTTCATTTTTACACAGTTTCACTGGATTTGATGAGTTCAGTGACTTGACCAAGGCCATACTGAGAACTGATTCAACTCAGAGTCAACAAACTCATTCAACACTGAAGCTTACCAACACATTGTCCATTTTTTGTTGACTATAAGGAAAAAAACTTTCCAAAAGTGCAAGATACCATTTATATGAAATATATACAATAGGACAATCCATTGACAGAATGTATATTTGTAGTTGCCAGGAGTTAGAAGCAGGGGAAATAAAGAATGACTAATAGTGGGTAAGAGATTTCTTTGGGGCATAATGAAAATGTTCTAAAATTAGACAGTGGTGATGATGGTATATTTACAACACTGAACATACTAGAATCTATGAATTTATACTTAAACAGTGAACGTTTCATTATATAAATCATATTACCATAAAAAAACTGGCCAGTGACCCTGGCTCTACCTTTTTTTTGTCCCCAAGGCTAAATTTATTAGTGCTGTGCAATAAGTGCAAATTAAGAGTTGAGGGTTATAGAATTTGAATTCTGAATAGGGTCACATTCTGATGGACTTTATAAATTTTGCCTATCAAGAAGACAGACAGTTCTGTTGGTCTAGCCTGCATTTAGATGGCAAGACAGACAACTGTTAGGTACCTAATCAATCATCATTCCTACAAATGCCTTTTAAGAAAACTCAGTTTTGTTCTAGGTGACAACTCCAAGCAGGGAATAGCTACTCTAATTCAATGTTCCCCAACATTGCTGATAACAAAATCATTGGCATTCCTTGTTTATATAATAAAACAGAAATAAAATGAAAAGATACACTCTGCATCCCCATCTAATATCCAATAAATCACAATTTCCAGACATGAGTCTTGTAAATTTTTCTATATAACAAGGCCCTAGGTAACTCTTAATTACCATCAGGGAAGTTTGAGGAATACTGATCTAACACATGGGTGACAATCTTTTTTATGTCTAGCTATCCAAACATTCCTTGCAGCTGGGTGATCATGTGATCATTTTTGGCTAATGAGAACAAAAGTTAAGTCTAGTAAGGACATTTCTAGTAAGAAAATGTATACTTAATAATAACAGGAGAAGAACATCTGCTCTTCCCACTTCAGTCCCTATCCCTTCCTTGAATGCAGCTCTGATAATTGGAGCTGCAGTAACAACTCAAGCAAAAGGCCAGCCAATGTGCAGGAACACAAATTTGAAATAATGCCAGCAACTGTGAGCCCTCAATTTCCTGCTAGATGGTCAAAATAAGCTCTGAGTTGTTTAATCCTGTCATCAGATGTTTGTACCACTTACCAAATACAATCTTAAAGCATGTTCTAAACACAACATTTGCCTCTATGATGCACTCTAGCTCATGCTGTATTTATGAAGGCCTTGCCCCTTCCTAGGTGAGGAGATCAGATACATTAGGGCAGTGATTAGAGTTGATCAAGACCTGCACAAACAGCAGCCATGTGTCTATATAACAAGATCATGGCTACTTATTGTTTAGAGGTCTATCACTTAACACATACAGGCTTTATATTTTTCCAAGTTTTGGGAGATATCTCACAGAATCTCTTGTGATATTGATATTTTACAAAATAGATTTTATTTTCTGAATTGAATTCTGTCAGAGAAACAATAACGAGGATTGGTAAACTTCTTTATAAGGAATTAGATATTAAATATTGTTGGCTTTGTGGGTTATATAGTATCTGTTTATATAGTATCTGTTATATAGTATTCCACTCTGTTACTACAACCCTAAAACAGCCATGTTTTTCAAATTTGGTCTTTTAAATAATTTTGCATATCTGTAGTACAAATTACAAGAGTACCTTATCTAGTCTTCATCTATACCTAACACTTATATTTAGGAGAGTTTTTTCCTCCTTTTTATATGAAGGTTTTTCACTATGTCCAATGTAGATAGAGGTTTGGGGGGAAACTTGAATTAACTAGAAGCTGCCCTTAAATTGGTAATCAAGACTAGTTCAAATGGGTTGGAGCTTTTTAAAGCCATGCCCCAAATGCAGAATTATAAGCAAAAAAAAAAAAAAAAACCAAACCTGTTATCATTAAGTTTTAGGCTTAGTGACTATAACACAGAGACTAAATATTGAATGCACATAGGAATGAATTTCATTTGAAACAAATGCTTCTATGTTTTGCTTTCTACTTTGAGCTCCAAATACAGGCAAGAAACTTATTTGTTCAAAAAATATATATACATACATCTTCCAGTATGGAGTTTCTGCTGTATGACGCTTATATACAATTGCAGGGTGAGTTGTGGGGCGGAGCCAAGGAAAGCCTGAATCACTGAGGCCCGACTGAATGCTGAGCGGTGGGTGAATAGCTTGCCTTCTGCCTGGCCCACTTCCTTTTCGATCTCTTCCGAAAAGCCATTTTTTGGCATTTGCCTCTTCTTGGTGATGCTGACATAAGGCTCTTCATTGTGGCCTGACTGACAGTAGAGGCAGAAGACTTCAAAACACCTGTTAACAAATCAGCAGGTCATAGTAATTAAGAGACAAGCAAGAGTCTGTCTTTGCTCAGTCATCCAGTTTCTACTTAGCCTGACTCAAAAAGCCTTGTCTTGACTATTCTGGACCACAGTCAACCCTCTAAGTTCTAAGCATTCAGTATTCTTCAGGTCATCCAGGGGACCAATGGGAATTCAGCATGAATCAAATAGAGAGATGATACTGAAGACCACAGAGACAAGAAAACCTACTAGAGAATGGGAATTGGTTCAGGCTCCAGAAGCACAGAAAAAATGTTCAATTTTCCTCGTGGACACATACTGTGCAGCTCTGGGCAAATAACTTAACTTCTGAGCTCTTTCCTTCAATTATAAAGCAAAAAATGGTAGTTATAACTATGTTGCTGTGAAGATGGCAATAATACTAATACACAGAAAGAGGAGAGAGGGGGGAATGGGAGGAAGAGAGAGAGAGAGAGAGAAAGAAAGAGAGGGAGAGAGGGACAGAGGGAGAGAGGGAGGGAGGGAGGGAGAGAGAGAGAGAGAGAGAGAGAGAGAGAATGTTCCACACACAATAAAAGTCCCAAACCACCCTAAGTTAAAGGAGAAGACATGGTTAGGCAAATGTCCAGCACAGGGAAGGTTGCCACCTGGATTTCACTGAATGATCACAAAACATCACCTGCCAGTTTGTCCTTAGAAGCCCTTAAAGGACAGGCAGAGATAAATTCTAGCATATATACTTGACCTGAGGGCTTCCCAGACAGATTTACTTATGAAATTACAAGCTTGCCCTAGGACCTCTCTAGAATAAAAGACCTGATGATTTTTAAATTTGGATTTCTGCTCTGGGTAATGGTATGGATGCTGATGGGATTCAGATGCCCGTGATTCACTTTGAATTAGGCACATGTACATACAAGTTGATGGACAGAAGTATGAAACAAAATGATCTCTGTAAAATCAAGATGGTAGGTACTTTGGTGTTCACTGCACATTATTTATTTTTAATGATTTATATTTATATTTAATTATTTATTTTTGCAGTCCTGGCCTCACACGTGCTAGGCAAGCACTCTACCATTTGAGCAAGATCCCCAGACATCACTGTAGTGTTCTTTTAAAGGTGTTTTTCCCCTGTATGACTGAAAATTTTCAGAATAAAAGGCTGTGAACAAATGGGTTTCCCTTGGAGTAACAAAAGTGTTCATGCTTCAGATTTAAAAAGTGTTGAAGAAGCTGGGTGCTGGTGGCTCAGTCTATAATCCTAGCTACTCAGAAAGCTGAGATCTGAGGATCATGGTTCAAAGCCAGAAAAGTTTCTGTGAGACTCTTATCTCCATTTAACCACTCAAAAATCAGAAGTGGCCCTGTGGCTCAAGTGGTAGAGCACTAGCCTTGAGACAAAGAGGCTCAGCACCCAGGCCCTGAGTTCAACCTCCCTCCCCTTTTCTACCTCCCCCCCCCCGCCCCCGCCATGACTCATAACCAAAAAAAAGTGTTGAAGGGACATTTCCTGAACCATGTACTTGCACAGCAACCTTATAATGCTACTAGAAGCTTATATGGATTCATCTACTTTATGGACTCGTTAACTTTATACCCTTGCCCTGAGGTAACTATACATTTATGATTTGTCATAATAAAACAAAATCATGATGTAATAAAGAAAAAGCCAGAACCTTTTTAGTGAGGACAAAGTGGACCTATTTTTTTTATTGTGAAAATACCATACAGAGGGCTTACAATTACATAGGCATAAAGTGGACCTATTTCCTGTTATTGCCTTTGTTAATTTGCTCCCAGAAGAAAGGAGTGTGCGTGTGTGTGTGTGTGTGTGTGTGTGTGTGTGTAAAGACAGAGAGTTTAATATAGTATTACATGAAGACATGTCAAACAGCATGGGCCAGTTGGTTTAGAAGAAAATAGTACTAATCAAGTAAACCAAGATCAGGTGAGTTCAAGTTCAGGGAGTGCAAAACTCAGATCTATGACTGAGGACAGAAGAAGCCTAACCCCTTCAGGCTGTTGGACAGCTGAAAATAATGGAGTAGAAGGTAGAAAAAATAGATTGCCATGTTTATTTTTAATAATGTGATGAATGCAGATATGATTACAAAGTGTTCTGGAGAAAGCAAAGGCAGCAGGCTACTGCTCATACAGAGGTGCTTGACAAATGGAGTAATGGGGCATATACAGAAAAAAAGATCATATGTAACAAAACAACTAATATTGACATCAAAATTTTAATCTATAAAATGTCTTTCATCTATCATCTCCAAGAGAAGCTACTGCAAAAATTGGAATCATAATATTTTTATAGCAAAACTGGAATATTCTAAAGGCCCTCCAAATGAAAGATTACATAAATCATAATATACCCATGTAATAAAAAATAAACAGTCCTTAAAACTGGCATCTTAGAAGTACATCAGTTAATATTATGTGGGTATCTGTGTGTGTGTGTGTGTGTGTGTGTGTGTGAAAATGGAACTAGAAGAATTGAGGTGATGGGTGTGGTTAGGAGAGATGAGGGAGAATGATGAAAGAAGTGACTGATAAAGATGAATTATACTCATAAACTGACATGTTGAATTGAAACCCTTTTGGACAACTACTTAAGGTGGCTCAGTAGTAGAGCTCTTGCCTTGCATGCCTGAGGCCCTGGGTTCGATTCCTCAGCACCACATAAGCAAAAAGAAAAAAGCCAGAAGTGGCGCTGTGGCTCAAGTGGTAGAGCACTAGCCTTGCGCTGAAGAGCTGAGGAACAGCGCCCAGGCCCAGAATTCAGGCCCCACGACCGGACCCAAAAACAAACAAACAAACAAAAAAGAAAGAAAGAATGGAAAAGAAAATAGTAATAATAAAGAAATGTGTCCACTAATATAGAAATTATTGGGTAGGGGATATATCTCATCAGTAAGAGTACCTGCCCAGCATGCATGAGGCCTAGGTTTGATCCTCAGCACAAAATAAATAAATGAACAAACCAAACTAGAATTTTTTTTGTTGGTGGTGGGGCCTGATCTCTGAGCCTGGATGCTGTCCCTCAGCTCTTCAGCTAAAGGCTAGCGCTCTGCCACTTAAGCCACAGTGCCACTTCCAGCTTTTTCTGCTTCTGTGGTACTGAGGAATCGAACCCAGGGCCTCATGCATGCAAGGCAAGCGCTCTACCACTAAGCCACCTTCGCAGCCCAAAACTAGAAATGTTTTTGCCATGTTTGATAAGTGAAAGAAACACCGTACAATGGAATAGAGAAAAGTTTATCATTTGTGTAATCATATATATGTATATATAAACACACTAATTATACAACTCTTAAGTAAACAGTAGAATGATAGAACTGGCCCATACTTACTCAAAACAGCCTACTGTTAAAACACAAACTTTGTAAGCCACGGTGATAGCTTGATCAGACTTGGTGGGGATAAATACATTATGGAAATCATTAAACACAAAACCAGGGCTCATTTTCCCTAAGAGGCAGTTTATAAGTATATTACTGTAGAAATATTAGTTTCATTGTCTTCATTGTGCAAATGTTTTCTGCTCTTCTGTAAATTCAACAACAAATATGCTGTAATTACATAATAAAATCAAGCTTAGACTTTGCAAAGAACAAAACAAACAAATGAAACACTAGTGCATGCTAAAAACAGGAGGAATGAAATGATAGCTTGGAGAAGAGTGAGAGTCTCTTGTTGCTGATGAGAGGACTGTGTGAAATGGGAATCATATAGAATTGTTGACAAAATGAAACTTCAGTGATCAGTCAATGGAAATGAAAAAAAGATCCAGAGAGAATTAATGACAAAGGTATCCCTAAAGGCCAGATGGAGCCTCTCAGAATTCACTGCATTTTCCAGTTAATACATTTGTCATAACATAGGTTAGTCTTTGTGCGTTTGAGGGCAGGAAGAGAGTGCTAGCTAGGCTACCACTATACCACTTAAGCAGCACTTCCAGTCCAGCTTTTGGCTGGTTATTTTGGAGATGGAATCTAGCAAACTTTTCTGCCCAGGCTAGCCTTGAACTTATGACTAGCTAGAGCTCAGCCTACTGAGTAGCTAGGATTATAAGCATGATCCAGTAGTGCCTATCTTAATAATTTTATACATAGTAGGTAATAAATAAATCTGTGAACAGCTTCAAGTCCTTTTAACACTACTGTTTTAGGAAACTAAAAATAAGGTGCATTTACTAAGTGCTTTTTTGTTGTTGTATTCTTAAATTTTGCAAGATCTACATAACTACCCTAATTCTGTTTCAGGGGATTGTGTTTCATTGTTTTGTTGTTTAAGAGGTTATCTAAAGAACCTACAAATTAAGCTGGGCACTGTAATCTTAGGTACTCAGGATGGTAAGACCTGGAAGATTGGTGTTTGAATCCAGCTGTGTAGGAAAATCCTCAAGACTCCACTTCCAATGAGCAAAAAAGTTGGGCTGGAGGCATGGCTCAAGTGGTAGAGTGCCAGCTGTGAGCTAGAAAGCTCAATGGAATATGGGGCTCTGAGTTCAAGCCAAAGTACTTGCAAAAAAAGCCACAAATTAAATGTTTCCATCAAGTATGGGCTTAAGATGCAGCTCAGTTTTCATCTGCTTAATAAATGTGAGGCTCTATGCCTAGCACACACACACACACACACACACACACACACAGAGTAGTTTTTCAGTAACATATGGACCAGGGATCAGGAAACTTTATCCATACAATGTTTATAGTGAACATGTATTTTAGAGTTTACAGACCATGTTTTTGTTTTTTGTTTTTTGTTTTTGCTGAACTCTGCTTCTATAGTGCCTCTGTGTTTGAATAATACTTAATTTGAAAAAACATGTGGTAGGGGCACTTGACAATGAGGTACAGTTTGGTGACCCCCTAATGCAGGTTATTATCAATAATTTGATCCATTCTTTTATACTTTATCTCATTTGAAATATATATATATATATATATATATATATACTTTGTCTCATTTGAATGGCTGAAAACAATGCAAGTGGGTGCCAGCATAAATAATGCATTGTACCAAGGACATTAATAAAAATACTTTTTTCCCAGAGAAATACTATGATTTCCTATAAGCTATGTTATCTTTGTATGGCACACATGCTCAGAGAAGCTACACTAGAAACAAACTTGTTAAATATAAAATGGTGAGAGACCTTTGAAGAGCTGTTCGCTTAATCTCTCTGAGCCTCAATTCCTGGACTGTAAAAATAAGATAATGAAAGTTCACAGCGTTTTACTGTGGATGAATTAAATACAGTATATAAAAGCACTCTGCGAATAATATAAATGCTCTTCAAATGGATACTGTTATGTCTTTTGAAAGTTTACTATAGAAAGAAATAATTTGATGAATACTTTTGAAATGGTCTATAAAGACTTTTGGACCTTCTTAAAGTGTATTTTGTAAATTCAGATATTTTTATGTAATTTTTGTCATGATACTAGCAATATAAGTGGAAGATTTCTTCAAGCTTATAACTCATTTATATTTACTTCAAATTTATGAAAATTAAGTAAAATAATTATAAATAGAAATACTTTAGGTTTTTTTCTGTAAGAGATAGCCACCCTCTGTTTTTCTGGAATATCTATTATAATTCAGAGATTATCCTTAAAATTGAAATTAATAAATTCAGGCATTATCCATAGTTCATACTTAAATCTAGCCCTGATATAGAAACAACTGTATGAACTGTAAGAACTACAGATTTTAATATAAGGCTAAAATACAACATACAATAAAATAAAATGCTAATGTATTACAAGAGGCTATTTTGCTTTTTTTGTAGTGCTGGAGATCAAATTCCAGGTCTTGAGTACGCTAGGCAGATGTTCTACTACTGAGCTAAACCTCAACCTTGAATACACTCCAAAATTGCATCTACTTAGAAAGAATAGGAGTTTGGCCAATGCCCACCCAACATTAAACAGAGCTAAACTATCCCCAAACAACTTAGAAATGTCACTAAGTTCAAGGGTAAGAGGTAAAGAGGAGAAACACCGTGACTCTTCTTTGTATTGTTTGGGGAAATAATTCTATTAATGTAAAGATGAAAAAATCCAGCAAGGTATTAAGTCACACTAATCTATAATAACAAAATGTTTTTCTTTTCATCTGGAAGCTGACTTTGAACCACATTTTAGATATCTCAGTTCTAAGATCATGGGTCCAATATCACCCTGAATTAAATTACCTGCATCAGAATGACAGACTCTTTAATGATGGAAGAAGATGGCTTGTTATTTTGTTCTTCTACTGAGAAAACAATGACTCATTCAGAATTTTTGGAAATGGATTTTTTAATAGTGTTAAAACCTTCTATATAACTGTAAAGGCAGCTCTTCAATGCATCAAACTATTTTTCTTAAATAGGTGAAAATATTTTTTGCTTTATGGAAAATACAGAAAAGTATATATAACAAAGGAGAAAAATGACATACTTTTCTGTTTTTCTGAATACTAAAATCACACTCTACCATCTAGAAATTATTGCTCTTAATACATTACCTTGAATTCAGGGTTATACTTGCCATCCAGTTTTTGTACATAATATTATGTTGTTAGATTTGGGTTGCTCAATGTTTAGAAACATTTTAAACAACAGCAATTACAGAATATTCTCATTTATTCAGATGGTTATTTAGGTGGTGTTTAATATTCTAAATTTTCCTAAATGGATAAACTTTGACAGTTTAAAAAGAAAATACTGTTAAAATGTCCTGCATAATCCACTTTTTCTTCTACAGAACACAGGGAACCTACATAATCCAATTTTATTTTTTGAGATGTCTTGGGAACATGTTCTGAGTCTTCACTTTCCTTATCTAGGAAATGGGGACAAGGGCTAGGGGTGTATCTCAGCGGTAGAGTGCTATTTCAGCATGGCCCTAGGTTTAATCCCCAGTGTGGAGGGTATCCTGAGGACAATTGCATTTACCTTATGGTAAAGTAACTGGGACCAAACAGTAGCACAAGTAGCTTTTTTTTTTGCCAGTCCTGGGCCTTGAACTCTGAGACTAGGTGCTGTCTCTTAGCTCCTTTTGCTCAAGGCTAGCACTCTACCACTTGAACTACAGCACTACTTCCAGCTCTTTCTGCGATTAATTGAAGAGTCTCATGGACTTTCCTGTCTGGCTAGCTCTGAACAGAGATCCTAAGATCTCAGCCTCCTGAGTAGCTAGTGCTACATTCATAAGCCACCAGCACGAGCTCACAGGTAGCTTTTAAGAAATGTCTTTTCCCAGTCCAGTGCCACTGGCTCATTCCTATAATCCTAGCAACTTAAGAGAGTAGCGATCTGAGGCCATTTGACGCCAGTCCCAACAGGAAAGTCTGTGAGACTCTTATCTAGGGGGAAAAAAAAAGCCAGAACTGGAGTTGTGGGTCCATTGGTAGAATGCTAGCCTTGAGCAAAAAAGCTCAGGGCAAAAATGCCCTTGAGTAAAAAAGCCCAGGCCCTGAGTTCAAGCCCCAGGATTGGCACCAAAAAAAAAAAAAAAAAAAAGAAAAGTCAATTCCCCATATCCCCCACTTTCTTTTCACAGAGGTAATCATGGAATGATGACATGTACCTTGCTCACATTTATTTATTTATTTCAGGCCCATAAGTCCTGCTTGGTTAGATGGACTCTTTACTAAATGGCTCCAGGTTGCAGTGCTATGTAAATTTCCCTCACTCTCTTTGTTTTGCATTTTTCTGATTCTTCCCTATCAAGACATCAATAGTAACTTCTCACTGCTGTCAGCATACCTGTTTCTCTGCCTTCTAGGATTATCTGCAGGATTGGAAACTTGTTTACCAAGTTTCCTGTGACTGTATAAACGACAAGTCAATATTATGAGTTTCAGCTAGAATAGTTGTCTTCAATATTGAGACATAAAATTTCATAGAAATGCTTTGTAAAAGGTATCTTACTATTGTTGGACTTTGTGTGTGTGGGTGAGGTTGAGTTTCTAGTTGGAAAGGTTGCTGGTTAGCTACATTTCTGGCAACTGAGGTTTGTCTCTGTTCAAACTCCTCTATCATCCATATCTAAACTTAAGTATTTTAAATATATTTTAAATCCAAAGAGATCTCTCTTTGTCTTGCTTTTTACTAAAGACATTAAAGATAGGAGAGTCATTTAAAATTCCGTTTAAGGTCCTTAGATGGGTCAAAGTCAGCTTCGTTACCATATATTTCTATTTGCTTTGTGTTTTAAAACATCAATTTCCAGAAATGCCAGCAAGAGTTTTTCTTAACACACAGTACAATCGTGTCTTCGCGGCCTATGCCGAAGTCTATATAGTCTATGTTATAAAGACTATATTTATGGTTTTCGTGACTATGTGTTTATAGATAGGTCTGGTAGACATTTCTACTGCCAGAAATACATTCCATAATGTTTTTCACGCCCCAAAGAGAAAGGAGCGGTGCATGGGTTTCTAGAATTCTGTATAAGAATTAAACAGATTAATATTTACAAAGCACTTAGAACTGTTTCTGATGCGTACAGTAAGCTCCCACGTGTCTGATAAATGACCAGTGTATGCTTTGGCTGTAACCATGGTTTAAGAACACACTTTGCAACGGTCTATGACCGCACAAGCCGAACGTGCTGGAGCTCATCCACTTGACCACAGAGGAAGCCATCTGTTTTATGAGACCCAACAACTGCCAGTGTTATTGGTCAAATTCAAGTGGAGGTGGCCAATGTAATACGATGGCTCTGAACAGCACTGCAGGGCACCCCAACTTTAGGATCCTTATGATAGATCCTGAGCCATTCCTGTGACTAGATTGGTGAAGCTAGAGGAGGGGGAGGGCAGGGCAGGCCTGCCACGGGCCCAGCCTTGTGGTCCAGCCACCAGTCCCAACCAGAAAGCCTCCCCTCCCCTCCACCTCTACCCTTGTCCTCTCTGGGGAAGATGGGGGAGCCAGCCAAGGGGCTGGGGCCTAGGGCTGGCTCAGGGCTTCAGCACGCACCTGAAGAGCGGCCCGAGTTGGAGCAGGTGCAACAGCAGCACTAGTGGGCGATCACGGCTGAGGTCGCGGTGCACGAAGAGGAGTGTGAGCTGCACCAGCGCGCAGGGCATCAGAGAGAAAAGCAGGGTCAGCGCTTGCCAAATGCGGTCCCCGCCCGAGAGGTACGTGCTGCTCAGGTAGAGCGCCGCCGACGTCTCGGCTACAAACAGGAACACGGACGCTAGTACAGAGGCTGGGAATTTCATCTCCCCGCGTCACCGGTTTTCACCGGGGCCAAACAGGAGAGGCGGCGACGGCGGCGGCGGTGGCGGCGGCGGTTAGCTGAGGGGCTCCGGGCATTCCCGGCCCTGAACTGCTCTCGCGCTCAGCGCAGCCCGCGGAGGGCACGCGGGCCCCGCCGAGCAGCCCGAGCGCCGGAGCGGAGCCTAGGGGCAAAGGACCTGGCTGGGGTGGGGCGGGCAGCGTGGCCGCTGGACACGCCCACACGTACTATGCGCCGCCCGCGCGCCAGAATGCCTGTGGCGTCTCAAAGGCGACAGTCTCCAGGCGGGCCCCGAACCTGTACCTTGAGTTCCACCATTGCCAGGGCTTCAGCTAGCAAGCTGCCTGCCTTGGGCACGGGACCTCTGGGTCCTAGAGTCCCTCGTTCGGTGCTGTCTTTTGGAAAACCTACAACATCCTTGAAAATTGGAACTAATAGGGGTTCCAGATTGGGATCTGGATGCTTTTCACCCCAGTTTTTCTTTTCTGGGCCAAAGAAACGCCAGTTTCTTCAAAAGGTCAATTTCCTGTCATTTAAAAATAAATGTGCCACACAGATTCTTTTCAACTTTCCAGTGTATTGTTATGTACCTATCATCATAATGAATATTTTTCTTATTTCTCACTGTGACTTGTCCCTTCATCTTTCAACTACAAGGCTGTGAAGCAATGCTGGCAATGGGGAAAGATCATTGGTAGGAGCTAAATAAAGTCTTCCCCTCCCAGAAAAACTGCCTACAGAATTTATTCTTCTCTTAAGTGTGACTAACTCAGGCAGGTCAAACACTAGGGCCTAATAAGGAAGCAGTTTTGTAGCCCACGGCATAACTCTGCTTGTTGCTGTGCCAATCCTAAGAGGAACACAATTACTTTTTACCTACTGAACTTTCAACCAGGTTCTACACATCAAGAACGACTTAACACTCTCCTTCACATCATGATCAAATCTGAAACCTCTCTGAAACTCCGTTTTTATCCTGTCTACACAGGGACTACACTTTTATAATTATAACATCCTCTTCCCTGCTTGGGTGATTTTAATTTTCAGGCATCACAGGGCCTTTTTCTATTTAGGAACATAAACACAAATTCTATGTGAAGTTTCTGAAGGGATCAAGACAAGAATGAAGAATGGGGAGAGGGGGTGGAGAACAAGATAGGCTGTTTTCCTTGGTTGGTGCACCACATGGGAAAATCTATTTATAAGGGCTGAGGAGAGAGTTCAGGCAACAGCTGAGAGATACCAGGCCCTTTCTCCAAAAGAATTGCTAATGTCTATTTATAAAACCCAGCAGGCCACATGTCCTGGATCAAGATACAAACACTGTCACAAACACTAAATCAGCAGCAGCACTCGACAGTATTTATATTATATTTTATTTGACACAGTGGTGAACTTTAAAAGGAAAATTAATTAGTAGCTTAAAATTAAGTGGAACTCTTTAGCATTAGATTTTATTTTAAGGCAAAGGATTATCACAGGTTTTACATGATTAAGTGGACCATGTTGTGGAGCAGTAATAAGCCAATAAATAGCATCACTTTAAATACTACAAAGTCTAGTTTACGGCAACTTATTTTCTACAGTACGAAAAGAATACAGAAAACGCGTTGGAAAGATCACAGTGTTTAGAATATTGTAACAGCAGGCTTATAAACAGTAAAGTGCATCTCTAAGCTTCTGACCCAATCTTGTTTCTTAAGAGATTTCATTATACCATCCCCCTCCAGGAAGAGGAAGCTTTATCAACAGACTGTAGTCTTCTTTCCAGGAACAACTGATACCAAAGGCTAAAATTTGATCAACATTTGTAAGTTGATTCTTGGTTGCTCTATACACCAACTAACAATTCACTAATCATATCTTTCTGTATAATTCCTTAAGAATCATGTGTAAATTATAGCTTAGGATAGTTAGTTTCCCTGTCAAACATCTAAGTGGATTTTCACAAGAGATCAGTGTAATATCATCTATTTTATTACACTTTCTCACTTGGACCTAAATACTCAATACTTAAAAAAATATTATATACACAATAAACTTATAGAAAGTGATACTTTGGTTCAATCACATGTAGCATATCAGAAATTTGAGAATTTGGTTTTATTATAAAATACAGTAGTAGCATTTTTGTTAATATAATAAAATATCTGGCAGAATGTTCTGCCCTAAATTTAGAACTAATTGCTACTGATATGTCTTTCAATGTGCCTCAAAGGAAAAACAATAATTAACAAGAGGTCAATGAACTTGTTTTGGCAAAAGGCATTGTTTTGTTTTGTCTTTTTTTTTTAATTTTATTTTATTCGTGAAGATACTGTACAGAGGGGCTACAATTACATGGGCAGGATAATGCGTACATTTCTTACCAAGCATTGCAGCCTCCTCCTTTTGTTTACCCTTCACATTTGTTTTGTCTTTTTTAAAAAGCCTCTCATCTTGTATGTTTTCCAAAATTTTAGTTATATACAGTACATAATTGGTGTTTATGTTTATACAAGTTAAAAGGAACTTAAGATTGTAATAACTAATTTCATTTTTTGGTATATTTTCAAATAATTTTATACTTTTGACTACATTTGTGCTGAGTTGGCTGTATTGCAAAGTGTAATTTTATTAATAATACGAATTTATTGAGTAATTACTCAAAATTGAATAGTACTTTAAATAAGAGTGTTTATTTACTCCTAGATACAATTAGGAATGAGCAACACTGGCAGATTATTCTTTTGTCACCCTTTCCCAAATAAGGAATTGTACTAATTTGCTTCTTGTGAAATGCATCATTGGGAAGATGAATTTTTTCTAATGATACAATCATATTTCTAAAGATATTGTAAATTGTGCAAAAAATGTTTTAGCAAAGTAAATTACTTTCTCTTGGGAAATGCACATTTCAAATCTAATCCATTGACCATTCCCCAGTTATATGTGGCTTTACAATGTATTTTTACTAATAATTGAATTCTACAAAATATATTTTTCAAGTTTTGTTGATGTAGTGTCAACAAATCCAAGAGATTAAAATTTAAACATCCTTTCTAAACAGAGCTCCCCTAGATGTTTAAAGCTGGGAAACCTGTCACCTTGCTAAGAGAATAGGCTACCATTCCATTATCAGATTCTAAAGCCAAACTTTTTCACTTAGAATGTTCCACTTCTGCTCCTGGAGAGTCTATAGAAATACATGTTACATTGTATTTGTCAAGAGCAGAGCAATTCTACTGCTGTTACAGTCTTCAGAAGACAAACTTTAATATTGAAACACTAAAATCCTAAAAAATACAGAGACAAAACATTATTTAAATCAATCTACTTATTTTAATACATCCACATATGTGAGTTACTAAACTCTACTTGAACCAAATTTAGCTACCAGCAGAATCCATTTTATTAACAATTGTCACTTAAACACAGATTGTAAAACAAAACTTGCAGGGACAATATTATAGGCCCCATTAAAACCATAGTGCCAAAAGATCATTTGCTAAAAATTGACAGAAGACAAATACAAAGTATTGCTGCTTTAAACAGATTGCTATGTCACAGCTACTTCACACACAATACAAGAAGAATACAAGTTAAAGCATAACACCACACATAGAATATAAAAACAAAGCATCATCAGAATGATATTACTCTACATGTATGAATTCTGTGTTTACACATCTACACATTCAGATATTTCTTCCATCATCATTTTAGAGTGTTGATATTTTTTTGGTGGGGGGAGTGTTGAACTCAGGGCCTGACACTTGTTAGGCTGGTGTTCTACCCCTTTAGCCATGCCTTCAGCCCTAAATATACTGCAGGCTCTGGAGGCAATAGTCTTTGATTTTTGTGGGTTGATGTTACTGGAGTTTGAACTAAGCACTTGATAGACATCAGATACTCTACTTCTTGAACAATGTCCCCAAACCTGACCAGTCATCATTTCTGAAACTGTAAGAAGAAGGTGCATATTTGGGACCTTTCTGAAGATATTTGTCTATGTGTAAAACTTAAAACTATCTGCTGATTTTAACTCAGTAAGAGGTTGCTCTAAAACAAAAGATAATTGTGAATTTTGGATGATCCAAATACAAAGCTAAGTAGAAATAAATTCCTAAAAGAGTAAAGAGAGGGGAAAAAAACAAAAATGTTCTCACCTAGAAACATCTAGGTACATTTCTAGAATTCTTATAGATGTAGAACTCAGTAATTCAGAGTTCTTCACTGGGATTGAGTTTACTCAGAGTCTGTAATGTAATCTTCATAAGAGGGTAAAGAACAGAATTATACTAACTTATTTAATCATAGAATCTGTTTTCTCACAGAGCAGAGTTTGGTACTACTGTGCTGCAGCTGGGAAATATTACACACTCATATAACCTGGAGTGTTCCGTTTCCATTTTCTTTCAGAATAATAAAAATGATAGAAGCTGTAGGAAGATCTTATCCAGACTGGGAAGAAGAATGTGATGACAGCTCTGCCCTTTCCAATCCACTAGTCGACCTACATGTAGCTCCTGTATACTCAAATATATCTCAGCTATAGAATATACACTGGAATTCGAAGGTTTACAGACAAAAAGGAAAAGTGTCTCAATATTTATAGTGATTGCTAACTGAAATGATGACATTTTGGGTATACTGGGTTCACTCAACTCTATTAATTCCACCCTTTATGCTTTTTCAATTCAGCTACTAGAAGCTATAAAATTACATTTGTGGTTCACATTTATGGCTCACAATACGGTTCTATCAAACATTGCTTCTATGCTTGTGAGACCCCTGACCCTATACATGATTACTAATGGCTTTAACTTGGCAGAAGTGATAATAAAAAAGAAAGCTTAAGACAGAAAACTTGAAGTACCCTCATAAATTATATGCTAATCTGTTAGAAAGCAGTTATCTTACAGTTAACACCTATCCATTAATGGATTCATGCTTGAACATACCTGTTCACTCAGGTACATTCCCCAAAGTTAAACACTGGGTTTTTAATTTCATATGACACTCTCCTTAAGTCAGCCTCTTTTTCCCTGTACTGCTTATACACACATCTCACACACACACACACACACACACACTATTTTCTACAGAAACTGTAAAGGAAACAAGTAGGAAGCATACAGGAAGTGCTTGCAAACTGTTTTCACAATCCTGGACAGTTAAGCTTTTACACATCTTTTGCCTTCTCTTTCTCTTTCTACCTCTGCATTCTTCGGGGAAGAGAAAGGCAAGGAATGAGAGGATAAACAGAGGAAGTTAGTTTCAGTGTTCTATACTACAGAAAGGTCACTATGGTTTAAAATAATTTATGATCTATTTAAAAATAACTAGAATGCAGAAATGTTTTCTAGCACATAGAAATGGCACTGTTTGAGATGGATATGCGAATTACCCTGATTTGATCACTTCCTGTTGTATAGTGTACTCCCTCAATACAAACAAATGTTTCAACTCAAAATAAAAATAAAGATTGAAAAGCGAAGCTCTTCATTCTTTTTTAATCTGTACAATTCACCTGCCAACTCCCATCTCAGCCAAGAACAAAAATAAGTCAGATTTGGTTTGTGTTAGAATTGTTTTTTTCAATTTCAGGCATAAGATATAGGGAGTTCCTTAACTAAGGGACTTTGCCATTTGTTAAGGAATCTAGGTGGAATTGAGAAATTTCAATAACTTAAGAAAATAAAACAAATGTTTGTTCATATCCTAAAGGCATTATTCATTTGACTTCAACTCATTAACAATTTCAACTAAAGAAATAGAGTTTATACATAAAGTATAAAGTTTATACTCATGGACAAAGCCCAAATATTTAATTTAAAATCAACTTCACTTTTCTTTTCCTCTTTTGATGACAGTAAAAATAGGATGAGGAAGCAGGATCAATGCAGCCACCATCTCATTCTTACATGCAGGAACACCAGTGGCCAACCGTCCTGGACTTGTGATCCAGCTAGATAACAGACCTACTTCTGCTATTGCTGACCTTCAGGTCAGCCTTTGTGTTCTGAGGGGAATGCAGCCATATAGAGTCTTAGCTAAGAACCAGTGTGGACAGAGGAGATAAGGAGAAAAACCTGCTCTTCCAGAAGAGTGGAAGTCACTTGTTTAAACATACAAAGGCAAAAAAAAACCCCAAACATCAGAATGTGCTATTTAAAGAGAAGGAAGTGAAGAGTTGCTGAATCAGAGCTAGTTCAGGATTAGAGAGGTTCCAGGAAGTAATAAAACCCACAGGTAAGACCATACTGGTTCTTAGCTCTATTAAATGTGCATCCACAACTCAATTTAAGATGCTGAGCTTTGACAAGCTTCCTCTGTCCACTCCTTTGCCTGAGTTTTCATTTCCTTTCTTTTACCAAATCTAAACCAAGATTACATGACTTTGGCAAATTTGAGGCTTAGTCTTTTTAAATATTAATTTGAGACAATGTTGAAAAAAATAACTCAAGTCCCCAAAGGAAGGCATCAAATCCATTAGAAGACATTTCTATTCTTATATGTCACATAGCTCTGAGGCCTGAACTAAAAAGTGCAGATCAAACTCACTTCAAAATTACTCTGTTTTCCAGTTCATTTTGCTCTGTAGATCTGAACTTCCTTCCCCTTTTCTCCAGGTGTTGGTACCATAAAATCTATTGGTTTTTAGCAAGATAAATAAATATTTGTACTAAAAATAACTTCCAGACTATAACAGTCTACCCCTACTTAATAATAGTGAACCCTGGTAAATCAGACTTTTTGAGGCACAGATATTATAGTCGGGACTGGTGCTAAAATATAAAAAACATACAATTGGTTCTTACCTATGTAGTCATTCATACTTCAAAAACTGCATCCACATATACAGATCCATTTGCCTGAATTGTTTTTGGGAAGTCATAACTGAGCATGATTGTCTATCCATTTTGTCAGCAATAATCCTCATGACAACCTTGTGAAGCTGACAGGGTGATTATTACGGTCTAGTAGTCCATAGAAGACAAAGGCTTTGAAATTTCCAACACAGGGCTCTTTGACCTTTTTCTATGTATTTCCTTCCTTTTTATGAAGTGCTCGGGATGGAAGTTAGGTCTGTACTCATGGTAGACTAGCTTCACTACTACTGAGATATACCCACAGCTCTGTGTTTTCTTAACATGATTTTGAATCACAATCTCATATTTGTTTTACTGAAATTACTTAGGTTCCCTACAGAAATTAAAACAATATTCAAAACACCTTGATTAAAATCTTAATATGTCAAAGGAAGCTACAGAAGTAGGTTGCCATTGGAAGAAGTATGCTTCAGTACAGAGCAAGCAAATGACTTTATTTTTCTGAGTTATCAGTAAATGAATACTATTATCTTAACAACATAGTAAATTACCTAATAAGTATATAGAAATAAATGTTGAAAAGCATCTGTTCTCCTTCTAAGAGGATAAAAAGAGGTAGAAACAGGTAACTGAAATGAGGTTGAATAAAATAAGTGAAAGAATGTAGGAATGTGTGGAAGAAAAATTATGTAATTGTATTCATGAAACATAATTCCTGCTATCAAAGTGAAATGCTATCTCCCTGCTGTTGCATGGACTTTGCTTGGATTGGAGACCCCAAAAGTGTTAACTGTTCACAATGATTAGCACAATGTTATTACTAAATCTTCAAAGGTAGGCAAGAAAGATGTCCAGTTTTCTATAGTTGCTAGAAATGGAGCTGATATAATGAGCTGACATCTCAATTCTTCAGCCTTTAAGTTTTTGCTCTCTAGTATAAATGGAAGAAGGATCAGAAAATTGAAACAAACTTTGAAGAAAGGGATAATTTGTTTATTACTGTCCCTCTTTTCCAGATTATAACGTAGAATACTGAATATGTAAAGCTGAAAAATGAAACTTTGAGTTTGACTTTGGTTTGAGTCATTGTTCTGTCCCTTCCTAAACATGCATCTACATAGCAATTACCCAACATAACTTCTAGTGTTGCTGAATGACAAAAATTAGCAGGTATTCCTTTAATACATCCTTATATTGAATGGTTATTATTCTCTGCATACAGGGGCCATGAGAAATAAATTTAAACTGAGATGATGAAAAGTAGGCATCACTCTCATTTAAAAAGGAGACCACTGTGTAGACATCTTGCCTTAAGCCTTCCACTTGGCACTTGCCTGTTCAGAAAAATATTTCTAGAACCCAACTTTTTTGGGGGGCATCAGAAAGCTTCTATTCATGCAGTACTGCCCCAAGCTGAGTATTTTCACAGATGAACAACTGAAGCCAATTTTTATGCTTGTATCATGAGGCTGAGTAAATGGAGCAATAAGTCAAAAGGTGCATGATTTCCCAAATCATTCTGTGCTGTTTTGTCTTGATCAGCGAAAACATATAGAGTCATAAAATATACTAAGATCATTCTTACCTTTCTTTGGTAAGACTCTGAATATCTTAGAAATAGTAGAGGTCCTCTTCCTCAAAAAGTACTCAGGAACACAAATTCACATATACAAACCCACATAAACGTACTGGTGTATGCACCCACACACATCAACATACATACAAATGATTTTAGATAACAGTATTTCCTGAATTCTTACCAAATCAAATTAGGCACTACTGAACTAAAAAAGAAATACTTCAGTTTCTATGAGGATAGATGTAACATATACATAGGTACAGGTGTATGCATATATAGCCAAAATACCTAATGATTAAGTCTCATACAGTACAGCTTCCTGTCACGTAATATATGAAGTTGTCAGTGATTAAACTCTAGGAAAGGGGAAAATTCATGTTGTATGTATTCTAGATGACAGATGCACCTATAGTTGTTCTCCAGTCCACTGTTTTCTGAGGCCTTTTACAACTTCTATGTGTTTACAGCAGAATTCAATGTGGTATGATAATGGCTCAATGGATATTATAGGCAATTTCTAGAAGACCCTGTGTCTTGGAAGGTATACTGACCATCCTGGAAGTTTACTCATCTCTTAATCTAATAGTATAAAATTAATCGATAATGCTTTCCATAATTACTGGTGCTTTTCTGGACCAGTGACTGTCTATCCCAAGTGACACAGTACTCACCAATGACAAGAAATGACATACCTTTGTAGTGATTACCCTGATCTTTGAGATGAGTAATTTTCACCAAGAGCTTATTTTACAATTTCACTAAAAGCTTATAGATATCACATATAAAGGTATTTTTTAAATTGCTAGCATAGACAATATACAGATCACACTTCAAATTGAGAAAAACACTTGACAGTAACACATGCTAGAGTATTTGCTCAACTACTATATTTTTAGTGCTGAGGAAGGAGCCCAGGGCCTGGTGCATACTAGGCACACATCCTACCACTGAGCCATATCCCCTCCCACCCTGAAATGTACTATTCTAATTGAGCTTTAGGAAAGAAAAATGAATTAGGAAAAGAGATATTCTAAGGCCCAAGGAAGTTTCCAATTTTGGTGTTTAAATAAAGTTATGGTGTCTTTAAAGTGCTCAGGGTAATGATAAAAATAAATGCATCTGCAAATATCCCCATTCAGTAAAAGTCATGAATTTTAATAAGCAAAGGCCTAGGACAACCAAGGGTTTCCTTTGTGTCTTTCATCCTGACAGTTCATCCCTGCTAACAGTTTATAGTGGGCAAATGTACTTTAGTTTCTGATTGTCTTTATGCTTGAATTTAGGGGTGGAGGGCAACCACCGATACTAAAATTCACTCTCCTATTATGAAGATATTATCATTATTGCTATTGTCCCCATTTCAGTTTTGCTTTCTACACCATTAACTGAAAAACAGATCATTTCTTTTCCTTTCCCTCTGAGATCTGGTTTTATGTCTACCCCTTGAAATATTAAAGTTTTAGTTTTCACATGAGTTGTGGTGTCTTTATTTTGCAGGTTCTCCCTCCAGCATGGTATCATACTGCCTTTACTTGCCTGTTCCTATCCCCTTCTGGTGGCAATGTTAAGGCTCATGGTTATGATACCATTGGATGTGTCTTATTTGGAAACTGCCTAATGGGGGCTCAGGAAATCTCAGGGCCACAAATGGAGGATGGAACCTTTTAAACAAAGACACTGAACAGAGGAAATTCAGCCTGATTGGGCTGCAGCAGATCAATCAGAAAGCACACCGTCCCGGAGAAGCCTTCATACAAGCTGTATATGCTTTCAAGGACCCGTGAACCAGCTTTGAATTCCTCGGTAAATAAGAATTGAGCAAACCTGAAGAAGAAGAAAAAACGAGCAGTTTTTAACATGTGTATTTCCATATTACTTGCCTTCAGTTGCTTCTTTTCTCTCTTTCAAAGAAAAGAAAACAACATCCCCTATTTAATTGAGTATGTTTTACAATAAATTTTGTTGGCAAGCAAATCCAAGTACTTTTCAGAGTCAGCAAAGCAAGTATTTTCATGTGCCAGATATATTACAGACACATGACTGCAATCTCAGCACTAGGGAGGCTAAGGCAGGAGAACCATTTATGTCCTGTCTGGGTGACATTACACAGTTAGTTTGAGTCTATCCTGGGCTGAGGGGGGGAGGCAAGAGGGAGGGAGAGAGGAAGAGAGAAAGAGATGAGGGAAGGATTGGGGAGATGGGTTGGGAGAGAGATTAGGGATGGAAGGAGAGAGAAAAGGATCTTTGCTATTTTCTGAGGATTTCGTTCTTTCCACTATCTCGTACCTAAGAGTGAAAAGACCTTGTCCTACTTTTATTTATCTTGAATAGAAGTAAACTGATATATCATGATTCCTTTTTTAAAAAGTAAATATGCTGTGTTTTTGCAGGCATATTACTTCTGAACTAACTATGTGACAAAGGACAGAAACCAAGAAAATAGATGGACAAGATTTCACTCAAGCTGCTTTGGACAAAGAAATAAGATGAATGGGAAAAGCAAACAATCTTTTATAATGATATCAAACAGCAAACTTAGGTACAAGATAGCTTATTTTAAAGATATCTACTCTAACAAAACTCATTGACTTCTAAGTTCTCTATGAAAGACCTTTTGTCTTTTACCTTTATTTGCCACACATGCTATTCAGATTATTTATAACATTTTTATAGTAGTCTACAGCTTTTGGTATGCTGTTAACTGATGTAATTTTACTTTTACTGACTTACACTACTCACTCTCATTAACATCAAAAATAATTCAGAGGCTAGAAGACACAGCTTGCTGAAGCCTGAACAGTGATACTGATGCTAATTTAGACTACTGCTTTGACACAGAGGGTAGGGTGTCCTATGAAATAATTACTTTTTAAAGCTCTTAGAATTGTTGATGACAGCTTAAAATAAATCAATGGGAAACAGATTGCAATTCTGTTTGGTAAAATCTCTCTATCAACTGCTTTCTCAAAAATGTAATAATTGAAACACAATTTTACATTTTAAACATGAGAAGAATGCAGCATCTTTAGAATTAATTAAAAAATTTAAGTAGAGGAGGCTGCAATGCTTGGTAAGAAATGTATGCATTATCCTGCCCATGCAATTGTAACCCCTCTGTACAGTATGTTCACAAATAAAATAAAATTAAATTAAAAAAAATTTTAAGTATCCAGTGAAGTCAGCATTATGGAATAGCTTCTGGTGGACCTTTTTAGTCTGGACTCCTCAAAAATGTTTTCAAATGCAAAAAAAGAAAATACATAGACTCCCAAAGGAAATCAACTATATACCACAGTTAAATTCATTCTTTCTTATTAAGAAAGTTTCAACCTGTGCCAAGGAGCCCTAGTGTTTCTCTTATTTTTTTCTTGTAATATTTTCAAGGTATCTGCTTTTACCTCGAGGTCTTTGACCCATTTGGAGTTGATTCTGGTGCAGGGTGATATATAGAGATCCAATTTTAGGTTTCTACATGTGCCTAGCCAATTCTGCCAGCACCATTTATTGAAGAGGCTATCTTTCTTCCATCCTATTTTTTTTGGCTCCCTTGTCGAAGATTAGGTAGCCATAGGTCTGCAGGTTCATTTCTGAGTCTTTAAATCTATTCCATTGGTCCTCAAGCTTGTTTTTGTGCTAGTACCAAGCTGTTTTGATTATTATGGCTTTGTAATAGAGTTTGAGGTTTGGTATTAAAATTCCTCCAGCACTGTTCTTCCTGCTAAGAATTGTTTTTGCTATTCGGGGTCTTTTGTTGTTCCATATGAATTTTTGGGTTGCTTCTATTTCATTGAAGAAAGAAGTTGGGATATTGATGGGTATTGCATTGAATTTGTATATGGCCTTTGGCAGTATTGCCATTTTCACAATGTTAATCTTCTCAATACAGGAACATGGAAGGTTATTCCACCTCCTGAGGTCTGCTTTAATTTCCTTTTTCAGATTTTTGAAGTTTTCATTGTAGAGGTCTTTCACTCCTTTGGTAAGTTGATTCCTAGGTATTTTTTTTTTAGGATATTGCAAATGGAGTTGTTTTCCTAATCAGCCTCTCTCTTCTCATTGTTGGAGTAGAGGAAAGCTACTGATTTTTGTGGATTGATTTTATACCCTGCTATTTTGCCAAAGTTTTGGATCAGCTCAAGTAACTTGGTGGTGGAGTCTATGGGGTTCTTTATGTATAGGATCGTGCCATCTGCAAAGAGGGAGAGTTTTACTTATTCTTTTCCTATTTGGATCCCCTTTATGTTTCCCTCTTGCCTTATTGCTCTACCCAGGAATTCTAATACTATATTGAAAAGGAGTGGAGAGAGTGGACAGTCTTGTCTCATTCCTGATTTTAGAGGAAATGGCTTTAACTTTTCACCATTGAGTATTCTACTGGCTGTAGGCTTGTCATATACAGCCTGATTATATTGCTTTCTCATTTTCTTTCTGTCTGTCTCTTGCTCTTGTCCTCTCTCTCTCTCTCTCTCTCTCTCTCTTGGACTTAATGCATACTAAAACATGTCCTACCACTGAGCTACATCTCTAGCCTCAGTAAAAATTTTGAAACTAAATATTATAATTAAAATAATATACAGTAATATTCTTCACTAACACTTTAAATAAGATCTAGTCATGAGTTTTTAAATAATTGCTTACATTTCTAAGTACAAATGAAAATATAATATAGTTTACAATATCGGCAACTTGAGTAGTTTAATATGAGAATATCTATTACTTCAGTTGCAGAGTCATTGTGACTACTGATAATTTTGTGACTTATTGTCTACATTGAGAATTTAAGAAAATTATACATATCAGTTTGAAATATAATCTTTTTGAAAGCATGTTCTTAAACACACTAAAACCTTCTAGCACTATAGAAAGAGCTTTAGAATTAATATAGCTAAATTTGATAATTTGCATGTAATATAACCTTTGGCATATTACACAATTTAACCCTAAGATGTTGACATTGCAAAAGTGTATAAAATCAGCTGGGTGTCGGTGGCTCCTAGCTACAAGGAGGCTGAGATCTGAAGATCAAAGTTCAAAGCCAGCCTGGGCAGGAAAGTCTGTGAGACTCTTATCTCCAATTAACCACCAGAAGACTGGAAGTGGCGCTGTGTGGCTCATGTGGTAGAGTGCTCGCCTTGAGCCGAAGAGCTCAGGGACAGTGCCCAAGCCGAGTTCAAGTCCCACTACCAACCAAAAAAAGTGCATAAAATTAACTAAAAAGATTTTTTTTTTGGTCTTGGGGCTTGAACTCTGTGCTTGGGCGCTGTCCCTCAGCTCTTCAGCTCAAGGCGAGTGCTCTACCGTTTGAGCCACAGCACCACTTCCACTAAAAAGATTTTTTTAAATGTATATGTTTGGCTCTGAACATACAGAAAGTATTATGTAAATGGAACATACTATTTTTTACATAAACATACTATAGCAGAACACTTATAAAACAGAAAAACATTCTACCACATTGAAAAAGAAACCAGAAGTTAATTTTGTTTCTATTTCTGTCATTTTCTTGCTAAGCATTGATTAATTTTCTCATATTATTGAAACATATATGACTTGGTTTCCTGTGTTTTTCATTAAATTATCAAATAAGCATTTTTGTGCTTTCTAATATAATTTCTAAAGAATGTGTGTAGTAATTCAGAATAATACCAGCAACATTTATGAGTAGCAGCTTCCTTCCATATCATACCTGTGTACTGTTATTTGTCTTATAAAGAAGGAAAAGCACTAGGAATAGAACCACAGATATGGCAAATTAAAAATTTTACAGAGCTATACTAAGAAGGGGGATATTGAGAGGCTTGTATTGCAAAAGCAATACAAGTTTGCCAGACTCCATCTCAAGCAATGGTTTAAGCACAGTTGAGCTGTCATCCTAACTACCCGAGACTGAGTTTGTGAAAGTTAGATTCTCTCAGCTTACCTACTGGGAGAAGTTTAAAAAAGGAAGATTTAGCTTCATTCGGGCCCCAGGCAAAAAGCAAATCCTTATTTTAAAAATAGGAAGACATTGAGATTTTTATTTTACTACAAACAGAATGGGCAACATAAAACACACAAATGTTGTCAAAGATGCGGGAGGCAAAGGAACACTTCTGTGTTACCAATGAGATTGTAAATGTGTACAATCACTTCAGCAATCAGTATGGCAGCTCCTTGAAAAATGAAAAATAGTGAAACCACTTTTGGGCATATATCGAAAAGAATTTAAGTGAGGATATAATAGAGGCACTAGCACACCTTTGTTAATTGCAGCACTATCCACAATAACTGAGCTATAGAATCAGCACAGATGCCTTACAACTAATGGATAAAGTAAATGTGGTACTTATATTCAAAGGTGTATGATTTAGCCATATAGAAAATTAAATTATGTTGTTTGCAGGAAATTGTATGGAGGGAAAGCATTATATTAATTGAAGTAAGCCAGGTCCAGAAGGACAAAGGTCATGTTTCCTTTCATATGTGGATGTCAGGCCTAAAATATAAATATATATAGATAGATATACATAATCATATATATGTATATACATATATGTGTATGTATATATTTATATATGTATGGAGGCAGTGGAGCTGTGGTTCAAGTGATAGAGAACTAGCCTTGAGCCAAACAGCTCAAGGACAGCACTCAGACCCTGAGTTCAAGTCCCAGGACTGACAGACCAAAAATTTCTCATTCAAAATTGTAAGCTAAAAGCAGTGTATATAGTACTGTTATATATTACATAATAATAGGTGCCCATTAAAATCTACATTGTCTGGGGTTAGTTTGGCAGAGTCTGTGCTTACTATTTCAAACCCATACACACATATGAACTTGCACTTACATAGGGAGAAGTTTTGAATGATAAGTCAAATGTACAACTGTAATAACACTGAACACTTACATTGAAGTTACAATATGTCCAGCATGTGTTTTAAGTTCTTTTTATATTAACTCACTCAAGTTACCCAATAGCCTCTATTTTCCCCATGTATGTATGAGGAAATTGAAGCCCAGAGCACATTAATTAAAGGTTACACAGATAATATGATAATCTTGATGTATATCAAGATCTCATTCCTTCTATGGGAATGCTCACAACAGTTGCAGGGGATATTCTTTAGCTTCTGCCAGGTGACAACTTAGATACAATGGAATTAGACCACAGGGCTTAGAGGACTTCAATGCAGCACTGAAAACAAATACACCTTACAGACATGGGTAGCTTCCATACCCCTCAAAGGGATTGCCAGCTTCATGCTACTTGGCATTCAGGAAAGCCATCTCTTGTTCTTCTTGCCAGATTATTTATACTTCATTCATAGTCTTCCTGGACTAGTTTACTCTTACCAGTAAAAGGTTGTTGCTATTAAAAACAATGGTGACTGCTATATAGCTAATGTTCTTTGTCAGGATTCCACAGAATAAACTAATGCAGCCAATTTACTGTTAACTGACAAAATAACAAATATATAAATCCTCTGGCAACCTAACACTTCTACTGCTAGCAATCTGCCTTCCAGGTATACCCACATATGTGGGAAAGTTATATTCATCTGGAAATAATCAGAAGGAAGGTTTTCTAATTTTTAATTTCAATTTTTATAAAAACAAAAATGGGGGCTGGGAGGGTAGCTCAGTGGTAGGGTGCTTGCCTTGCATGCTTGAGGCCCTGGGGTTGATTCCTCATTAACACAAAAGCAGATAATTTTGTATTTAAAAAGAAGACAACATTTTGTAAGTGGTGCTGTGGCTCAAAGTGGTAGAGCACTAGTCGTGAACAGAAGAGCTCAGGGATATCACCCAGACCCCAAGTTCAAGCCCTACGACTGCCCAAAAAAAGACAAAATTATATATATATATATATATATATACATATATATGTATATACTTACATATACTGCAATTTGCTTGTATGTACATAGAATAGCCTAAGGAAGATAACCAAGAAACTGGTGACAATATTTCCAGGGAAGTTAATTAAATAATTGTAGGGCACTGTTGATGTTCCTTTTTTGCTTTTTAAAACACGCAAGTATATTACCTATTCAAGAAATTAGTTCAATTGAAATAATATATATATATATATATATATGTGTGTGTGTGTGTGTGTGTGTGTGTGAATATGTGTGTGTATGTGTGTGTGTGAAGAATGACTGACCTTTGGGCTCTGTAGATGTATTTTGAGTTTCCTGTGAGCCGATACAGCAGCAGGAAAACATAGGCACTGCCAGCTACACCGTGACAAATCCCTGGCCCCTTCTTCAGCAGCCCCTTCTGCCATGTGAGCTCCCCACACCGGATACATGTGTCCAGGTACTGTGGTTTCTTGGAAACCAGATAAGCTTTGGCAAACAGATAAGCAATTCCTGTGAAAACATCAAAGGCAGTAGAAGTGAGTTTCAGAGCTTAATACTCTAAAGCTTCTCGTACTGTAAAAAGCCTCAGGAGAAATCACCCAGATTCTACTATGTTAGCTCTAAATATTGCTCTAGATATTTAGGTGTTAGGTCTAGATACTTCATTTTTAAAAGTCATATTTTGTGGTATCTAGGATGGAGCTCAAGACTTCACTCCTTCTAGGGAAGTGTTCTACCATGAGTTTCCATCCTCAGATGGAAATACTGCATTCCTAACAAGTGTTTTTTTTTTCCATCCCAGAGACAAGAACACGTTTTGAACAGCAAGACTGTAGAATGTTCTGCAAAGAAGTCTTCTTTCCCCTGTGGAATTTAGTTTCAGTCATTTTAATTGCATCATAAGGTTGAATGCTGGAGAAAAACATTTTAATTGAAGTACATGGACTAATAAAATCCATAATTTAATTTACAAATGGGTTAATATTTAATAATGCATACACTCTAGTAAGCAGTATGCACATGTGGCTACTTGGAAGGATTAACTATTTATACAGCTTGCTCATTCATCCACAAAACTTCAGAGTTTGTAAAGTTTAAGTGCTTATAACAATATACCCTTTTGTAAGAGCTTTTCAAGAACTATAGTGATCCCAAATGACCTCACCAAGACTTCTCCAGTTGTAAAGTCAATCCTCCATTGTTCCAAGGTAAGAAATGTTCCTTTAAAACTTGTCAACAAAGGTTGTATCATTACAAAGACAGGAACAGATCAATATCGATTAATAGAAGTGATTTCCCCTAAATTCTAACTTCTGGATCTCATAATTAGAAAGGAGGTTAGTAAAACAAGATCATTTTTTTCTCCTACATTGCCTAGTTTCCTCCTAAACTTAAAAAAAAGCAAAACAGGGAAAGGATTGAGAATGTAGCTCAGTAGTAGAAAACTTGCCTAACACTGAGGCCCAAAAAATTATATTAAGAAGTGGGAAAAAAGAAACATGAGATAGGTATCTCATCCACCATAGCTCATCCATCAAGATCCTCTCTTCCTTTCATTGCTTGACTAACCCATTTCATGTCTTGATAGAAATAGAAATTCCTTTGTTGAAAACCAAAAGTAATGTAAATAATTCCTGGTCCTAGAGGCTTTCATTCTTGGTATGGATGTCTTGTGTTCTTCCTACCTCTGTGGGAGAACTGTTTTCATCTATGAAGAAAATCCATTTCTGCATTTGCAATCACCTATAGACATGTCTGCTCTTCCCATATACTTCAGAATCAATTTTAGTACCTTTTGGTTCTCCCAGCACTTAATGAGCTAAGTAGAATTGTTGACATTTATATTCATATAAGACCTATGACTTCATCCTCTCAAACTACACCCATTACATTCACATTCCCTGTGATTAATACTTACACAACAAGCTCTTTGTGAAAACAATGCTTTCCAGTTAAGCACTGACTGACAAACTGTATCTATATTATTGCTTTCTTTTAGTTTTAGGAACAAAAACTTTCACAAATTAAAAGATGACTCTAAAAAAATTGAACTTACTTCAATTCTCATTCATTCACAGTATCCACAGATCTTTAAGAAAAAACTCCTACCTTCATGAATCTAAATAGCATATAACTAGAGGTATTAAATAATTAGGCTATGTGTGATACAGATGTCATGAGAGGACATAGGTCAGTCCCTGCACAATAGCTGGTGGTATGAAAGGCCTACTAGAAAGAAAGATTGTCACCATCTAACTTGAATAGTGGAAGATGAGGAGGAATTAGCTAGGTGTTCCAGATGTTGTTGGTGCCCTGATCAGATACCCTTTACTTTACCATCAGAGGCATCTCTCTCAGTTCCTGTAAAAGTTGACTGATTGCTAAATAGAGCTTACAGATGTTACTTTCATGAGAGATTTCCCCACAGCCAGATGAAAGATTATGTTGTGCATCCACTCCCCGGCAAGTTTTAGCCATACAGGACTGCAAAAGGAGGCTTGCTTGCCTCAAGACAGAATACTGGGGTGGTTTTTGTACTGTTTCTTTTGTTCATGTGTATAATCTATGTCACTTAATGTCTATGCAGAGTCAAGGCAAAACTATGCTCCAGGCAGGCCATAATCTTTGGTTTCCCTCCTTTTCCATATCCTACTTTTCTGTGGCCTTATGTGGTCCACCTGATAGCAGGCTCTGCTTTCAGACACCCAGCATAGAGTGTGTTGAAAAGGGAGGTGTTCCAAGCAAGGAATGGCTAAATTGCTCTCTCACCTAGGTGCCCTAGTATGAAACAGAAAGTCCTTTGTGATCCAGCACCTGCTTTGTTCTCTCACTCTTCTCTTTCATGCCCTGACTGAAGCTTTTTACTTGAGTAAAACTTTACCGCCCACAGTGCTTTCATGCTTCTAAATGCTCGCGTTGTTCACTTCTCCTAGAAAAAGATTCCTATCTTTCTTGGCCCAACTTACCCCAGGCATCACCTTCACTGAACTTGGAATCAGCACCAGAAATCTCTCCTCTGGGCTTCCACCACTCCCTATACAAATTATCATACTTCTACAAAATAACATTAAAATAATCTATTTCTATATCTGCCTCCTCTAGTATAATGCCCCCAAAGGGAGGAATTGTATCTTATTTATTTATTCTGTTCCCCTTCCCTGTGGTATGGTGTTTTGCCATGCCAAAGGGCTCCTCCATATGTGTGTGTATGTATATGTACATATGTATATATGTATACACATATGTATACATGTATATGTATAGATATGTGTAAACATATCTATATCTCTGATATAGATATAGATGCCTAATTTCTCATCCCAGCAAGGCCCCATAATTGGAGTAAATTGAGAGATGTGGAGAGAACAAGTGCTGAGACAGTGTAATTGCTACACCAGGCCATTAGCCTGGACAACTTAAAAGCTATTGATCCTGTGGTTCTGGGACAAAATGAAACAGCCTCTTCCCGCAGCCTAGATCATAGAATGGTAGGCTAAAGGGCCTTTGAAAAACTTTTAAATTTATTTGCCCTTGCCAAATGCCACTGAGGAATTGCATGATTACTTAATAAAGATGGTCTGAGAATAAATCTTGGAAACCATAAGATGTAGTTTAAAAAACAAAAACAAAACAAAACAAAAAAACCAAACTGTGTCAGCCAGATTTGGAACATGTACTCTACCTAGGTCCATTTTGGGAATGTGCAACTTTGTTGAAGAATTGCAAAGCTTAGTGATCAATCTGTGCTTCAAAAGCTGTTCTTTATTCAAAGTCACTGAAGTCAAGAGCCTTATCAAGTGACTTTTTGAAACTACTCACACTTCTGTTTCACACAGAGTACAGGAAATGCAATGTCAGTGTTGCCACAGTAATGATGTAACCTGATGCTTCCGGGAGGTTATTTTAACCACAGAATTTATTTTAATGATTTTGCAAATGACTTCCATCCTGTATTTCAGAGTCATCAAGGCTATGAAGGTATCATATGAATTTTCCTGCAATACTTTACTGCACTGAGTGGAGAAAAAGCTCTATGCCACTATAGGCCTTATAAATGTGGGTATTTGCAAAGCATTTGGGATATTCCCTTAGGAACAGCAAGGGTCCAAGTACCAAAGGGGTTTATGGTGTTAAGAAGATTGAGTTGCTCTACTCCATCTTGACATGCATATTTCACAGAAGAGAATGACTTTCTCAAGGTTATTTAGCTGGAAAGTGGTAGAGCTGCAATTAGAACCCAGAATTATTAACCTAAATCAAGAACTATTTCTAAATTGCGTAAATGATACCTCAGGCTATTGCCTTAGGTAGGTTGAAGAAAAGTCAATAGGAAACAAAAGGAGAGATAAGGTAGCATTAATGAAGTTCAATGCTGTGGATTATTTCTGGCAGGTTTTTAATCACAGGATTGCTCTGCCACCCAAAACCATCTGTGCTGCTCATCAATCTACTCTTAATTTTTTTCTTCAGACAAATGAAATGATTTTTCTAGGTTATTTCCTATTTTAGAATTTTGGAGGGATTTCTTGTCACCTTCAGCAAGGTCTTGATTTTCTTTGACCTGCTTCAATTTATAATCACTCTTGATGTTGTTTTTGTAGCACTCTATAAAAGGAAGACCAAAACCTTTGAGCTAGAGATTGGAGTTGGCAAAAATGATGGAACCCATTTCACTTTTTATCCATTTATAAATTGATTTACTTTTGGTAGTGGGAATCCATGGATTGAATGATTTTGCTTTGGAACATATGGTTAATCTTCTCAAAATACTTATCAAAATGATGAAGGAAAATAAATAGAGCCTCCAATGTGATGATGAGTGCTGTGCTGCAACTGTTACAGTACATGATTTGCAGACAGATGGTAATTGGTATATAGAAAGGACAGACTAACTGCCCATCAAAGACACACACATCAATTAACTGGCTCATTCATTCATTTTAGTAGATCATCTTCCCTCTCTATTAAGGGATTTTTACTAGCACAGTGAGTTCTCTAAAATATTCTGTATTTAATTTGGGACATTTCCAATATTCAAGAGTACTAGGATGCTTGGAGGATATCCAGAGACTATAATTGATAATGATGAAAGGGAGTGGGAAATGGAAATATCAAGTATAACAAGAAAAAAATAAAATGTCCAGAATGGTAAATAACTTCTATGTTTTCCTCCAAAAAAAGATTAAAACAAGAAGCAATGGGCCGGGCACTGGTGGCTCACGCGTGTAATCCTAGCTACTCAGGAGGCTGACATCTGAGGATCACGGTTCAAAGCCAGCATAGGCAGAAAAGTCTGTGAGACTCTGATCTCCAATAAACCACTAGAAAACCGGAAGTAGCACTGTGGCTCAAGAGGCAGAGCGCTCACTTTGAGCTGAAGAGCGCAAGAACAGTGCCCAAGCCCAGAGTTCAAGCCCCAAGACTGACAGAATAAAAAAGAAGTAATGGTTACAAATTATAATTGGCAGTAGTTAGCCTGGACATATAATGTGCAAGCCCATAACTTGAAGCTCTTTCTGCAGGTAAATATAGCAGTCAGAGAAATATGCCAATAGACTATGATCTATATTACACATCTACTCAAATTATACCAAGACAAAAAAATAATTCTTGTTAGATTTAATGACATTAAATAAAGGGGGTGAATGAGGCAATAAAAATCAGGTAACAAAATGAAGAGAAATCAAATATACAGTCTGAAGTTTTACTCTTATGATTCAAACATGCACAGCCTTGAAAGTAAATCCACTCCTAATCCAAAATTTTGTGCTATTTTGATATCTCAGTCTCTCCCCTGGACATTAACCAAAATTAATTGATTTGTTTGAATTTGACTCCTTTCAAATTGTCAGTCTCCAAAGACTTAATTAGCAGTGTAATGGGATTAAATAAAGGTGGAGTAGGGAGAAGCCGGTGGGTAATGGAGTTTGATAAGTGTCTAGGCTCAATTCCAGGAAGTTCACTGGGGATGGCTTCTCATTTCTCTAGACTTTTTATTAGCTATTATTGGAAACATTAGTTGAAAGCTTGTACCTCATACTTAAAGCACATACAGATTGCCTAAGTTATTATTTAAATGCTGATTCTGATTCAGTGAGGCAAGGCAGGACTGAGATTAGGGATTTTTAACAAGCTATCATTTGCCCATGCTACGTACTAAGTAAGTGTCTCCGAAAGATTTCCTAGATTTCCAATCTGCACCTTCCAATGTGGCTACAAAGCTTTTGAAATGTAGCTAGTTTGAATTGTAGAATTATGTAAATGTAAAATATACACAGGGTTTTAAAAATGTACATTGGATATTTAAAAATACGAACTATTTCAATTTTTAGATTGGTTGACCATTAAGTTATGTAATATATTATCAAAATTAATTTCCTCCATTTCTTTCTACTTTTTTTGTGCCATTCCTGGGGCTTGACCTCAGGGTCTGGGTACTGTCCTTAAGCTTTTTTGCTCAAGCTTAGGACTGTACCATTTGCTACAGATCCACTAAGGGCTTCTTGTTGGTTAATCGGAGAGGAGAGTGTCTACATTTTCCTGTCTGGGCTGGCTTTGAACCACAGTCCTCAGATCTCAGGCTTCTGAGTAGCTAGGATTACAGGTGTGAGCCACCACCAAGGCCTATCTTCATTTACTTTTTTAAAATAAGCTCTGAAAACTGTTTTGGGGCTGAGAATCAAACCATAGCTTTGGGCATGGTAAGCACTCACTAAGCTACCCCTCCCAAGGTTCTAAAGATTTTGATTACATATATGTTTCTGCCTCTTCCTCCTCCTCCTCCCCCTCTTCCTCTTCCTTCCCCTCTTCTTTTTCTCTCTCTATACATATACATATAATGTCAGAGATTTAAAAAAAATCTAGACATTTTTGCTTGTGAGTTATCATCTTAGTCTTGTTATTTTATGTAGTAATGCCCTAGAATGGTGTATGGAACCTCCCTTTGTCTAAACTAGAAAAAAGGCCCTTTTTAGGACAACAATGTGCATGAGACCTGGAGCTCCATGGCACCAGTGGACCAGCTCGTTTTCTCTCTCAATGGTTTCGCCAAGCTCAGGTGGCCAGTTACAATTCTGTTCCTGTTCCATGAGGAAGTCCACACTCTGCCACACCAGCTCCCGATCTGAAGGCTTGAGGTGCTCATGGTAAGAAAGAAGCATTTGGAGAATGGATGACAGTCCATGAGCTGCCCCTGTATAGAAAAATAAAGCATAATTCACACAGATAATTAGAGAGAAGAGCCAGCTTAATTTAGTGAAAAAGTATCATAGGATAAAATGAATGACACAGGTGATAAATGAACAAAGAAAATGTGGTATGTGTATGCAATGGATATTATCCAGCCATAAAGAAGAGAAGTAGGCTCTGCTGATGAGTGGGTACAGATGGGAGGGGGTTGGGCTAACAATGAAGACAAAATGAAGATTATAGTCATAATACATTGTCTGCAACTGTGAAACCAAACAATAAAACCTGTTGAAATTATTTTGGGAAGTAGGGAAGAAGGAAGGGAGAGTGAAACAAGGAAGAGACTGACTGGAATATACTGTTAACATGTATAGAAATATTATAATAAAATATCTACCTGTTTAACAAATGTAAGATAATTTTAAAAAGAAAATTAAATGATTCCATTTTCAGGAAAATGGATGAACTTGGAGATCATCATATTAAGGGAAATAAGGCAGATTCACAAAGACAAATATATGTCTAGTGTCATATGAAGTATCAAAAAGTAAAACAAAACAGGACAGGAATGTTCAAGGGGGACTATTTTAGGGGGACCAGCAGAAATGGAGAAAAGGATGATTGGGGTTGAATATGATTGGTGTGCATTTTATGCACACATATGAAAATTCCGTAATAAACCCATTAAAATTATTTTTTTCAAAGGAGGAGTGGGAGGGAATAATAAATAAAGAGAATGAATATGACCTAAGTATCTTATATGCAGGCAAGGAAATGTCACAATGAAACACCTTCCTTTATGCAATTAATCTGCACTGATTTTAAAAAGAGTTAAGACAGGGCTGGGAAGGTGACTTAGTGGAAGAGTGCTTGCCTTGCATGCATGAGGCCCTGCCCTCAATTCCTCAGCACCACATAAGCAGAAAAAGCCAGAAGTGGCACTGTGGTTCAAGGGGTAGAGCACTAGCCTTGAGCTGAACAGTTGAAGCACAGCACACAGGTCCAGAGTTCAGGTCCCATGACTGGCAAAAAAAGAGTAAGACAAAATAGGATGGTGTAATATTTTTTTAAATATATGGTCATGGTGGCTCATGATTGTAGTCTTACCTATTTTGAAAGCCCAGGGGAAATGTTCATGAGATTCTATCTCCACCAATAAAAAACTGTGTGCAGTGGCACACACTTATTATTCCAGCTAAGTGCAAAGTGTAAATAGGAGGATCACAACCCATATTGGACAAGGCATCAATGTGATATCCTATTTGAAAAACAACAAAAGCAAAAAAGGCTGAAAGTATGACTCAGGTGGTAAAGTGCCTGTTTAGCAAGAACAATGCCCTGAGTTAAAACCCCAATACTGCCAAAAAAGATGTGACAATATTACTTGAAAGCATATATAGTACTTTCACACATAAGTTACCAAAGATCTAGGCTACTAGTAGACAAAAATCTCACCTACTGCCTATTTTTATAAACAAAGTTCTTTTGGAACATTGCCAAGTCATTCATTTGCACATGATCTGTTGCTGCTTCTATGCTATAACAGCACAGTTATATTTGTAAGAGATCATGGCCCAACCCATAAAGAATAAACAAAATATTTACTGTTAAACTTTTCAGAGAAAAAGAGACTTATGTAACTGTAAACCCTATGTAATCACCTTTACAACAACACTTTTCAAAAAGAAAGAAACTGAAACCTGTTTTGTATGAGGGAGGGGGACCTAATGGGAAAGGAAGGGACAAATGGAGAGAGGAAAGGCGGTTGAATACAGTCACAGTACTCACTGTACATATGTTCAAATGGAGCCAAGTAACTTGAGAGAATGGGAGAGTTGGAATAGATAGAAATGATGGAAGGCATGGCATTGATCAAGAATCATTGTACTCATAAATTAATATATTAACTGATACCCACTTGTACAAATAATCAAAGATAATAAAATAAGAAAAGTTTGCTGACAATTCTTACTTTAGAGATTTTGTTTTAAAATAACACCATGAAATTTCAAAGTACTTTTCTCTCACTGGATTTGGGATTGTTAGAAGTTTGCTTTTCAGGAAAATGTGTATACAGTCCATAGAAATTTGGCATTTACTATGTATGTCAATAGCCAGAATGCTAATTCCTCTAAAAATCTTCAGAATGTAAAGAATAGTCCCATCAGAGGACTCAGGCAGACACTGTCAGTGCCTTGTCACACTTACCATTCAGGTGCATCTGTGCTCCCCATTTCTACCTCAAGTGCCTATCATTCTGCCTGAGGCCTTGTCTGGGTATAGAAATGTGCTCAGTTCACAGAGATAGGTCAAGATTACTAGGGAATTAACACTCCTGGAGCAGCAGATTAATAAAGCAGGAAGATGGTGGAGGCACACCTGAGTTTTCTCAGTCCTTGGATGAGACAATTCTGAGGCATGTTCTATGTCCTCAGTAAAACAGCCTCAGTTCTCCAAAATTGCTTTTTATTACACACTCAATAATCATTTTTCTCTTCCCTATCTCATTTCCTTATTCTTCTATAAATACTTTCTGGGATCACCTTTTAAATAAAAACTTTACACACAATTCCATAGCTCAGGGTCTGATTCCAGGGAAATTTAAACAGGAACTAAAAGGGTTTGTTGGGGTTTTTTGGAAAAAACTTTCATTAATCATTAGCTATTCATTCATTCATTTGGGCACCTTAATTATGTGCAGGCTCTGTGGCAAAGGTCCAAGGGATCACAAAACTGAATGACTATAACTCTCCATCCTGAAGGTGCACGTAGTCTTCTAAGGTGGTTGACGGGTAAACTACTAATTATAGTGTTATGTGAAGAGGGCTTCAAATAACATTATGGGCAGAGAGACATGACACTACCCAAATTGCTACAGGGGAAAACCTGTAACATGTGAGTAAGTTCACCCAGAAAAGGTTCGATGATTCATTTGCTTAAGGCATAGAAAATGCATTAGTAGACCTCATGACTTTGTTGCAGTCTGGAGGTCTGTGTCTTATAATTAGATGAGGGCATGGGAGAAGGTAGGCATTCTAGGAAAAAAAGAAGCTGCACAGTGATATAAAGACATAAAGTGAATTTGCGTGTGGGAAACTATGCTGGACAGAACCTATATGGAAATGATAGTTTTGAATCTTGAGAAAGAGGTATGTGGTCTACAAAGGGCCTTGCAAATCTTGCTCAGGCATGCAAGGACTCAGATGGGGGAATGAATTTACCCCTTGCATGGACCAGAGTTTGAAATTAGTCACTGCATACTACTATTAAAAAATGAAAAATAGGGGCTGGGAAGTTGGCTCAGTGGTAGAGTGCTTGCCTTGCATGCATGAGGCCCTGGGTTCGATTCCTCAGCATCACATAAGCAGAAAAAAGCCGGAAGTGGCGCTGTGGCTCAAGTGGTAGAGAGCTGAGGGACAGCACCCAGGCCCCGAGTTCAAGCCCCATTATCGAAAGAACAAATAAAAAAAATAAAATAAAATAAAAACTGAAAAATATCAGTGACTAAATCCTGTTCCCCTATGTAGAGGCACTACCTTCAACCATATGTGAAAATTGTTCAAAATCTTTCAGCAAAATTAAGCCTGGCACAGCAGTGCATGGCCATAGTCCCAGCTATTTAGAAAGCCAAGACAAGATGATGACTTGAGCCAAGGAGGTCAAGGGTGGCTTGGGAAACACAGTGAGACATCTTAAGTAAAAAATAAAAATAGGCAGATGAGTTTTCAAGTAGTAGTAAGGATTTTAGTCTTTAGTGGAAAGTATTAAAAGTGCTACATTTCTGCCAGGCAGCTTATAAAAGCAAATAGTAAATTATCAATTAAAATGCTTTTCAATATTTGCTTCTAAATGATATTTTAATATTTCTTGCAAATGAATAGTATTGGCCTATAGCAATAACAAAAGCTTCTACTTTTGAGCTGGGAAGGTGGCTCAGTGGTAAAGTGCTTGCCTTGCATGCATGAGGCCCTGGGTTCAATTCCTGAGCACCACATAGGCAGAAAAAGCTGGAAGTGGTGCTATGGCTCAAGTGGTAGAGAGCTAGCCTTGAGCTGAAGAGCTGAGGGACAGCGCCCAGGCCCAGAGTTTAGACCACACAATCAACAACAACAACAACAACAAAGCTTCTATTCTTTACCTAAGGTTAACATTAGAGATTGCCCCCAGCTACTGGCCTGTATCAACACTTTCACTCACCCAAGTATTCAGTTCCATAGTAAGAATACATCAGAGGGAATGGTTTCCTCTTCTTAATAGCATACTGCTTCCCAGAGTCCAGAATTGCCTGGCAAATTGATTTGATCTGTACTGGAGTCAGCACCTGGATAAGGAAATCAAGAAGCAAAAGTCAAAGTAGAATCTATCATCTGCCTCTAGACATTATGTATTTTCTTGCTTAAAAAGTCTATCAGCAGGGCTTGGAATGTGGCTCAGTGGTAGAACGCTTGCCTTGCATGCCCGAGGCCCTGGGTTCGATTCCTCAGCACCACATAAGCAAAAAGAAAAGACCCGGAAGTGGCACTGTGGCTCAAGTGGTAGAGCGCTAGCCTTGAGCTGAAGAGCTGAGGGACAGTGCCCAGGCCCAGAGTTCAGGCCCCATGACTGGACCCAAAAAAAAAAGTCTATCAGCAGCTGGAAGCCAATAGCTCATACTTGTAATTTTAGCCACTCAGGAGGCTGAGATCTGAGGAGCACAGTTCAAATCCAGCCCAGGAAGGGAAGTCCATAAGACTCTTATCTCTAATTAACCATACAAAAGACAGAAGTGGAGCTGTGGCTCAAGGGGTAGAGTGCTAGCCTTGAGTGGAACAAGCTCAGGGACAGCTCTTAGGCCCTGAATTCAAGTCTTAGCACTGGAACAACACAAAAGTGCATTAGCCGTGTTCCTAGCATCTTTTCCTATATGTACATTAATGCAACTAACTATAATTTCATTGTTTTTTGCCACTGACTTGTTCTTTGATGTCAAGTTTACGTATCCGTTTCAGAAAATTTGTTAGTTTTGAGGTGAAGCACAGATCTTTAATGTTATAGGGTGGTACAAAATGTAAAGGCCACCTTATAGCTGCTAGATCATTAATCCCTGTCACAAGAACAGGAATTTACCCAGAAAAGAACAAGAAGTGGTGCTAATGGATTATACTTAACAAAGCTGTTATTTCTGATACATGCTACAGTACAAGTTTGGCCCAGACACCAGACCTTCAATTTATGTCATTTAGACTGTGCTTATGAAGCCATAATTCTTTGACAAGCTGCAGCATGACAAATTCACAGCAGCCATTTGCATTCCCTGAAACTCACCACACTTCAGTAGAGGCAAGAAAAAACTACTTCTAACATCAAATGACTCTGAATAGAGAGCAGCTAAAATGCAAGAATATGCAGTCTTCCACATTTAGTTCATTCTATCCACAGTTTTAGGAGTATAGATATTAAAATGTTCTCAAGTCTTTAAAACATGATAGAGTTTATTAAGATTCTGCTTGGTTTTGCACTGTTTTCTGCTTCCTGTCTTTCCTCAGGGCAGATTGAATGCTCCTTCTGGCATGCTCAGGGTAACACCAGGCCCCATGCCCAAGTGAAGGATTTACCTCCTGCTATATTAGGTTTTTATATCACCAGGGACCTAGCTGTCAGTTAAGTCTATCTGATAGACCTAACCAGATAAATCTATTGTTTTTAGAAAGTAAAGACTGTGAGATCTCATCATTTTGGAATCTCTCCTGCCTAGCACAGAACATGAGGTTCGGAGGTCACCCTTGGAAATAAAAGAGTGACTAAATAAGTGCAGGTTAACTGGTGTGAAAAGCAAGGAAGGGGGTAAGATTATCCAAAAAGAAATGTTCTCTTTATCTGACTTATGTAACAGTAACCCTTCCATACATTACCTTTTTAATAATAATAAAAAAATTAAAAAACGAAGCTCTCCCCATTCTTTTCTCTTTTTTTGTCAGTCATGGGGCTTGAACTCTGGGTCTGGGCATTGTCCCTCAGCTCTTCAGCTCAAGGCAAGTGCTCTACCACTTGAGCCACAGCACCACTTCTGGGTTTCTGATGCTTAATTGGTGATGAGTCTCATGGACTTTCCTGCCCAGGCTGGCTTCAAACCATGATCCTCAGATCTCAGCTTCATGAGTAGTTAGGATTACAGGCGTGAACCCGGCACCTGGTCCCATTCTTTTCCTTTATTCTCTACCCCCCTCCTTTTCTTTCCTCAACACCTATTTCTTAAGATACTACTCTATTCCAGACGAGCCTTAAACATCTGTTCTAGATGCTGAAAATATGGCAATGAATATAATAGATAAAACCTCTGCTGTCTTCCCCAATGTCCACTAGATTTTGGCTTCTCTCTGAAATTGCATATACCTCATTTTCCTGGCAAGAACTGGCATTAGACCCACCAATTCCTTTTGAAATTAGGTCCTAATTAGTTAAGTCATAACTCAATCCTCTGATGATTTATATAATACTAGAAAGGTATGTCCTCAAATCTAACACTAATTTAGAACAATGATTACTTCAATAGGAAATTGTTGGTAGGTGTGGTCTTTCAGTCCTGTACATCAGCTCAGGCAGGAGGACTGTGAGTTCAAGGCCAGCCTGGAGTACTTAGTGACTCCTTCTCTAAAAGAAAGAAGAAAATTAATTCTGCTAATTATCATAAGGCCCTATACTAGGTAGTGTAGGAAAATTCTGGAAGGAACAGGATGCATTTGCCTTCTATGGGTAATTGACTATCTAGTGATGGAGTTGTTAACAAAAGTTAACAACTGAGCAATAAAAATTCAGGAACCTGAGTTGGAAAGAAACAGTAATATTGATTATCAAATATGGACAACAAAGCACCGCTCAGTTTTCACTAAGATTTTACTTTCTCCTCAGTTTTTAGCTATTCAGAAACAATTATGTCATGACCTTCCATTTAAAAATTTCCATTTATGAACTACCTATATCTGTCTCTTGAATTTATTTCTTCTTTTCTGCTTGCTGTCCCTGAACACCCTGTGTTTCTTTGCATCTTCTCTGTCACATCAAATCTGCCCCAGGTCCTTCTTTAGTCTAATGGCTACCCCACACCAATTCAAATTGCTACTAAAATTTTCATTTACGATCAAAAATACTCTCTCTGCCTTTATTGGAGCAACTTTAATAATAGTCCTACTCTAGGAAATCTTGTATCAGTAATCTGAAATCCACTCCTCCATCCTGAATCTCTCTCCCAAATCTAAGAGCTTTGAAAGGCATGTACTTAATAGGATGATAGTCTGCCTCCATTCCACATGTTTTTGGAAATATACTTTGCTATTTGGCTATATACAGGTCCTGTCTTCCCAATATTGACTTTGAATCCATATAACAGAGGCAATTTTTGTGGTAGGAAACTAGTCACTGAATTTTCAGGGCTCATTTGAATTACTAACATGTTTGCTATCTGACTTTTGTATCCATAATTGAAAATTCACTTATTCTTTCCTTTGGTTGAACATTTATTCATGTTTTTATGCTCATATGTATTTGCCTGCTTGTTTTTTAACCCAGGGGGGAAAAATCAGCTTGTGCAATATGCAGCGCCCTCCTCATTCTTTCCACTCCTAATCCACAGCTCAAATGAGGAATGAGTTTATAAAATATTATTTTAAAACCTCCTCTGGTCATGCATCACATCTTCATGGTTTCCTCTTATCTCTCAAAAACACTGTGAAAAACAAAGAGAAAGCGGCACTTGTTCGCCTGGATAGAGACTGGTTATGCATGCAGTTCTTTATCTCTGGAAACAGACAAGACCTACCCTTGAGTGTATTGATCAGAAAATAAGAATGGAAAATAGTACTTATTAAATGTCTGTTGCAGGGGTGAACAATGTGCCCTTCTTTTTCTCTCTAAACAGAGTGGAGAGAAAAAAAAAAGAAAGGAGGTGAGACGCTGGGATACTAGATAGATTTTGTTCTTGTCTGCTTTCTCCATTTTCTGTGGCAAGCTCTCAGGGATGCAGGGCATGAGCACACTCCCTCCCTCCAAGAACATGGCCTCTTTGCTTTCAAAACACTCGGAGATCACAGTACTAGGAAGGAGGCAGCAGCTTTACCAATACGTGTAGGGGAGGAAAAGTGGCTAGAGGTAGCAGAGGGACTTCCTGACCAGCAGGTCTTTACCAAAACAAGTCCAAATTCCATCTCCTGTATTTGCAGCACCAAAAACCTGTAATATGTTGGTCTTTTGGCTTGATTAGGTTCTTTAAATGTTTCTTTCTACTGAATTAAAATGAAATAAGTGAAAATACAAAGGTCTGTGAAGGCTTGATTTAAATGGTTCTATTAGTTTAATGGAGTCCCTTCACTGATCCTGTGAAATATTTCTAGGGGAATGGTCTCTGAGTATGAAGAAATGAAAAGGCATTATTATAAAGCAAGTGCTATGTTTATTGGTCCCGCCTGAAGGTCATGCTATGACTGAATCATCTCCATGTAGAGAAGAGATGACTTTTACTAAGGGATTGAATACAATGGACCAAGTCACAAAATACTGGTATCTGTTGCAGACCCCTTCCTGAGGCAAGTGTCTCTGTGCACAAGGCCTCTGAAATGGCAGTCATTGCTACCTACATTTCCTTTTCTAGGTTTCTCTGCCCTTCCCCCATCAGTATTGATTGATTCTACTGATAATGGCAAGCAAGTCCTGGGTATACCAGCGTTCCAAGGCATACAGTTGCTGATCAAATTCCTTTTTGCAGCAATCTGAAATTCATGTTCAAAATAATTGAAGCTGTCATCAATCACCACTGATGCTAATGGCAGGTAAGGAAATAAGAGCTGGGGTCCTGGTGCAAACTGGAGTTTAGTGGTAGTTAGCAGGAGATGTGAAGGAGAATGACTGAACAAGCCACCCAAGAATGAGAGTTTAAGATGACTGAGTTAGAAACACTATGAGCAACACTGATATTGAAATAAATTTAGAGACAGGTAGCTTGCTGGTCCTTACAGATCTCTTATTTTCTAGCATCTTGGGGCTACTCCCTTAGGAGTTCTTGTCAAATTTCTACAAGACACATTCTTATTCCTCCTGCCCTCTCTTTCTTTCACTCACTTGAGAAAGTCTCAGAGATTTTTTTCTTTTCTTTTCTTCTCTCTTTTTTTTTTGTCAAAAAGCCTAACTAGAACAGGCATGGAGATAAAACTATACCTATTTTCATTCCTCCACCATCCACATAAACCCACCAACTTCACTACATACCATGCTAGATCTTTTCAGCCCCCAAATAATAAAGATATCTGTATCTAAGGTACATGATAAGGACTCTAGAAAGATCTGTCCTCA